TCAAAACTTGAGTGCTTGGCAATTGGCATGTATTTATGATGGTAACAGCATTCTGGGGTCATGTGATCTCCATTCATGACTTTCCCAGCTGGCTTCTAACAAATGAAATCAATGGGGGGAGGGGGGAGCTGGATTAATTTAATGATCATATGATTCACTTAACAAATGGGGTCATTCACATAACAACTGTGGCAAAAACTTTTTAAGATCAGGCATGACTCCAACTGTATCCACTGAGCAATCAAAGTTCTGGTCTCAATTGTGGCTGTATGTCAAAGACTATCCATATTATCATTTGATAAACTATTATGCCTTATTATAGTGGCTGCTGCTCAGATGGTATGCATATATCGATGAGATTAGGAAACATCGATGCCTCCGATAAGTAAGAATGATGTAAAATTACAGTATTTATTTCAAGACCATTTCACTTCCAAATGTTTTTTACATGGATGTTCATGATTGTGGGAACATTATCTGAATCTCTAGCTTAATGACATTAGATTCAAGTACGCAAGTGGGATTTCTTTTTACCAATCACAATAACTGAAAAAGAGTCTCAAAGATGCATTGAGTACTTCATACTGATCTGATCTTACTGATTATACATCATCTGATTAATGATCAAAGTACAACTGACTTACTATTTCATAGAATAGTTTGTATACTATTTTACTAGCATACAAATATATTTGTATACTATATAATTAATATATTAATAGTATTATATTCCATATACTAGTATACTAATATTATTTCATTATCAGCATCTTTTATATTTTAACTGGCATGATCTTGTGACATACATTGCTGATTGAATTATGTGTTTTTAAACCTTTAATATGACCAATGTTTATTGTTTGTATTTTTGATGTATATTGGACAGATACACACTTCTTGTCATATGGGTAGCCACATAAATTTGATAATAATACCTAGATAACTATCTTTGAAAGGTAGCCAAGCATTGGATTTCAATTTTTTTCTAGTCTGTCACATCTACTTCTTATGTAAAGCTTAAAAAAGGAAACAAAAAGCTAGCTTTTACTCCATGTACTATACTTTAAGCAATGAGAAATACTTTGCTAGAATCACAGACAAAATGCTTTGACAATTTATTCAGTGCTCCCAATCCCTGTTTACTGCTGGTTTGTTATCTTACCTGGAAATTATTTTTTAATATATTTTTTCACATTTTTGTTGCTTTAGGAATCGTATGCTCATACGCTTTGCATGATATGTACTTTGTTAGGCTAGATATTTATGCTATGTTCAGTGCCCTTCTTTTGCAAAACTTTGTAAGCTGAAAGATTTTCCATAATTCTTCATTACATTTCAATTGCAGCAAATCTTACATTTCTATATTATCTTGGGTGTTTTGTATGGCTTAGTGCAACACAATTCTCTTTGCTGACCATTTTTAAGCAATGCTTAAACCCATGCTTGGACATTCCAAGCAGTACCTAGGAGAATATTATTATACTAATACTTACCCCGAATCTCCAAGAATGATGACTTTGAGTAATACTTTCTTTCTAGAAGTCATTATTACAGAATTCAGATGAATATTCAAGTGCACTTACTAGATAAAAAGAAATTACAATATAAACATCTTACTCTGCAATCCATTTGCTTTTACAGACAAGTCAAAATACAGGTAACATATTAATATTTCATATCTTTGCAAACTAGGTACTAGGTATATTGCTTTCTCAAAACAGATGTAAAGATGGAACCACTTCATTGCAAAAAAAAGCCTCTGTTTGGCTACTGATCAAATCCAGAGAATGCTTAGCTATTCAACTTAAGTGCCCCATAAAGTATAAAAGCAGGAAGGAAAGATTCCCCAGAAACTTCACTAATGCTGAATGCTAGCCATCTTAAAAGCATTCCAACATTTTCCTTTTGGGCTTAAACAGAAAAAATAGCCTTAGTTATCTTCTTAAAGCTGGTACGAAAAATTGTTTTAAGTTTCAGGTTAATAGTCTCAGAAATTCCTCTGTGAAAGAATGTTAGTCCTACCAGAGATTCAATTTGAGAGAAAAGTCCATAATTCTTATTTTTGTTAAGAAGTGCTTACTACAGCTTTGACACACACACACACACACACACACACACAGAGCTTAATTCCAATATGAGAACAAGTGGAAAAGAGAATGAAGTACAGCAAAACTGTACATTAGGCATAACCTTTGAGGTTACATGAAACATTTGCTCTGCAACTGTCTAAGTATAATTATGCAATCTACTGTGAACTGAAATTCCAACCAAGTATAGAATAGCAGCTTCATTTAAAATGTCCAACAAGGCTATGATTATTAGGCTTGTAAATTGTGAAGACCTGTTAGTACCTATATTCTGCTGTGTAAGTTTCACAAATGTTGAACATTAAAGAAAACGCCATTATGGATTGCAAGCTCCTTAATGTAGATATAATGCTGCAGGGAAACATTGCGTGCCAAAAAAAGGAAGTGTCCAAATGCAAAAGTTGCAGCTAGTTTAAAAAATATTAAGGCACAGCTGAATCATTTGTCTTTCAAGAAGAAACTAGAAGAACAAATCATAAGGTGAAATTTTAATGTAGGGCGCAGTGTTCCATTATTTCTCAAATTCTAGTACCGCATTTTTCTGAGTATAAGATGCACTTCCCCCCTAAAAATTTCAGTATGTCTTATAGACCGAATATGGGCCTATTTTTGGGTTCTTGAACCCTCTGCTCATCACCTTTTCTCCTTCCCCGGCCCTCAGAAGCACCCTGCAGTGCTCTGCATGGCCCATTTTCACCAAAAATGGACCCATTTTTGGTCTCCTGAACCCTCCATACATCATGTTTTCGCTCTCCCTGCCCCTAGAAGCAATCTGCAGGCCAATAATGGGCCTGATTTCTGTCTGCAAAGTGCTTCTGGCAGCCGGGGNTTACATAAATATGAATTGCAAAAATAAAACTACAAACCCAAAGATAGAACAAGAAGAGAAGCACATGCACTTGAAGGGCCAATGTCTGCTTCATCATGATCATTATTTCTTTCTTATTTAAGTACTAGGTGGAGAGTTTTGGGAAGTGGGAGTAAGCAGTATTCCAGGAAGTGACTCTTGCACAAACCAACTGCCATCCATCCCTCTTAAGCCACTTTCAGGACAACACAATCATGGCCTAATGAGATCCTGACAGGACTTGCCATACTACCTTAAGCAATAATATGACTCATGATTTATTCAATTTTAGCTTATCAGAATTGCTTAATAACTCCAACTTATTTGACAAGATAATTAAATGTTCTTCATGGAAGATATGAATTCCATCACTTTACAATTTAACTGGCACAATAAGTTTGATTATAATGTTTATGCAAGCAACATCCAATGCCCAAGTTGGCTTTGTTCATTTCAATGAATTATTCTGAGGAGCAGAGTACGCATCAACTTTACATATTCACCAAATTAAAGAGAGTGATAAAGCAAATAATCTGCCATTCCCATTTAATAGAAGGAAATATAATGGCCAATAACATTTGTTCAGGAATTTTTCTTTCTAGAACGCCAAGTTTTTCACTGCCACAAAGCAGAAGCTACTACATAAGGACAAAATAGAGTTAGAATCTCAAGGAACTGAGAAACCAATAATTTTCATTTTGGTCACTTTGTTAATTTGAAATTATACTCTATAAGCAACATTTCTTTTAACCTCTTTTAAGAACTACCATATTTTTAAGCTAGCCATTCTCCCCATTTTTAGAATTACAATTAGGACCTTCGGATGTTATCTTATGTGTCACCTGAAATTTTGGATACCACTGTTTGAAATGACATTTCCTATCATTCAGTCAGCTGTCTTGTAAAGTTAAGTCAAATCATATCCATATTGGTGCAATCTACTGACATTATCCTATTGCAGAGGTGTCAAATGCATTGTCACGGTGACATCATGTGACATGTTGGGAATTTGCTAAACCGGACTGGGCATGGCCAGCACGTGATGCATCCAGCCTGCAGGCCAGGAGTTTGACAGCCCTGTCCTACTGGAATTGCTTCTTCAGAGGCAATCTTTCTTTAGCTCACGTGCCTTCTGGAGACCTGCTTTAGAGAATTGTGGCTTCCCTAGTAGATTTTTAAGGAAACTGGAAATCCCCAAGAGTTAGAAATAGTTTCAAAATAGGAAGATCATGGCACTTATAATGTCTAATTCCGCTTGAGTGACATACAACAAACCAATTGTACTATTATAAATGTGGTTTCCAATCTCTACAGATAATCCTGAAACTGTTAAAAAAATCCTTGTTACACCTGATGTTAGGAACAGACTTTCACTATTAGATATGAATTGGCCTCTCCCATTTGCATATTTGTTCTCCAAAACCTAAAAGCTTCTGGAGTAAATCTGGGAGCACATATTGGGTAAGTCTGAGTCAATGACGTTCATTGACTAGATGACTGACATAATTTAATATAACTCAACCGTGAATATGGTCTGTATACATTTCTGTCATATAGTTTCTCCCTTTATCACTTGTTTCTTTCTCAAAATCTTGAGTGGAAAACCTATACTTGGCAACCGTTCTCTGGCAAACCATTATCATTATAATGTGAACACTGGATAAAAACATAAAATTGGTTCTGAAGCGCCAGCTTCCACAAGGAGAAACATAGAAACAGGGAGCAAGAATGTTTGTTCTTGTTAAGTTTATTGGCGTGTTCTTTACAGAAGAGTTCTGGCTACATACTAGAGTGTAGACTTCAGGTGGAGGTGGGTGGGGTATAGAAATGCTCCATTCAAGAAAACTACAAATGCAAGGATAAGTAAGAGGGCAGAAGAAAATGGCCAGGATTTCATTAGAGGAAAGGGACGTTAAGAGGAGGAAGAGGAAAGGACACTTTGCAATTAAGAGTGACTGTCACTACCCAGATGGAGCTGTATCTACAAGAGTCGGATATTCCATGTTAAAATTCCTCTTTACACATTTGTAGAGTAACTGTGAAGGGGTTAAAAGGAAACAAAGCAATCATTTTGAAAACTGTATTTAATTTCTGAAGTCCAATAGTCCGGCACGCAAAATCATGCATTTGAAAATTTTCCACTACAAATAAGCCAGATAATATTTTTCAAGGAGATGAAGCTTTTTGGCTCGTAAATCAATAAAAATGTTTACATAATTCTTGCTTCTACTGTACAGAATACTGTCTCTATTTGGACTTGTGCTGCTAGCACGCTGCATTTCACAAGTGTCCTGTTCATTTCCTAAACAGCTTGTGTTTCAGTACTTAAACATGTAATTCAAGAATTTTACACTAATTTATACATTTAATCGGTTGCATATATTAACATGTACTATAAGATTCTTTTTTTCCTAAAGAAGCCATTACATAATATGTGGATACTGTAAAAAGATCTGATTAGTTAAAAGTAACAAGCATTAACAGATACATACAAAACTCAACCTAGTGGGACTGAGTGCTGAGCTTGCAATGAACTATGAGTAATCACCCTTTCCAGTTGCCGCCTTCACGGGGAAACACAAGACAATTAAAGGGAAATCGTAACAGTGTATCTGTACACAGTTTCTTTCCAAGGGACATCTGGATGTAGCTTAAGTTCCAAATGTATAAGAGGTTCCTTTTTAATAACTAGAGGAGAAAGGTCTGCTACCATAAAAATGTAATGGGATGTATGATTACTGATGAAGTTGTGGGGAGGAATGAATGGGTTTACAAGTTGTTCACGATCAGGGGGCAATTTGGCCGCTGGAAATGGTATCTTTATTTCCCCCAGGAGAGGAGAAGGGCCATTTATGGTTGAAGGCCTAAGTGTGATATCGGTTTGTGAAGGACTGTGCTTAATCCCTCCAGCCCCACCTCAGCAGCTACAGCTCTCCGCAGAAGCCTTCGCTCGGTCGTTCTTGTCTAATTTGATAGGTTCCGGAAATTCATTGTAAAGCTCCACTTCAGTTTCCTACCAGGAAAGAAGACAGAGATCACCAACTACAGTTCAAAATTACTTTGCTCAAGTTGACCAGTTCCTGCTTTGGGAATAGGAGGCATGCAAGCTTAGTGTAATTTCCAAGGAATACTTATGGACATTGTCTCCAAACTATCCCTTAAAAAGAAACTCCAAGCCTTTCCTGCCATGGATGGCACTGAGTACTGGAAGCGAAAGGTAGCTCATTCGGCTATTTTTTTTAAACAAATCAATCCTAATGACACTAAAAATCCCACAGAAGATTCCCCCCCCCAAAAAAAATAGAATGTTAAAATATTGCAAACAAGCTGGTTATTTGGAAAAGTAAACTGGATGACTGCTAATATATAAAAGACACAGCAATGGCTGTTACAGTCTATAGCCAGCCATCGGAAAGTTTGATCTTATAAGGGGGATATGAATTGATTGCCAATAGGAGGCACTAGGCAGGGCTCACCTGTTTAAGTGCATTTCGTGCAATTGTTTGGAAAGCTTGTTCCACATTAATGGCCTCCTTCGCACTGGTTTCAAAGTAAGGAATATTGTTTTTGCTGTAGCACCAGGCCTGTGCTCGTTTTGTGGTAACCTGGTAACACAGGAAGGTTATTTTAATTCAGTTAAGTTCATACATTCCTATTAATCAGCAACCCTTTGTTTATTACAAAGAACTCCACATTATTTCCTAAGCTGCAGAGGTCATGAGTGCTGAGAAATCTTTGCACACCCAAAGTTTCTTCCCAAAGCAATGTTATTCTATTTACATTCTCAAAAGCAGATATTTTATTCATGTACTTTGGTATCACATTTCGCAAAATATCCAGTCTGAAAATCTGGTTGTTAATTTGCAATCCATCCTTGGGTGGGTGGGTGGGTGGGGGCATCTGCTCGGGTTCTACTTCAATGTAGCATCCCACTTACTTGTCTATTTTCTAAGTCAATCTTGTTTCCCAGCACAACAAAAGGAAAGTTCTCAGGATCTCGTGGACTGGCTTGAATGAGAAATTCGTCTCGCCAGCTATCAAGAGTTTTAAATGTGTTGGGAGCCGTTACATCAAAAACCAGCACGCAGCAGTCCGCTCCCCTGTAGAAGGCAACTCCCAAAGACTGAAACCGTTCTTGCCCTGCTGTATCCCATATCTGCAAAGAGAAGAACACAGTAGCTTAATTGCAAATTGTCTGTTCAAATCAAAGAGAATCTGATGCTTTAAAATGTGGGATCAGCTATACTCCTCTCTTTATTTAGTGACCCTGTGTTCTTGCCTTTTGTCTTTGAAACACTCTCTGCATACCTAAGAACTCTGGGGAATAAATTGGATTCAGTGTCAGATGAAGAGACCCCACATTAAAGAGGCTGTCAGCTTCCCTCTAGAAATGCAGGGGTGGAAAAGGAAGTTGGCTTTAGATCTACTCCTCTTTCTTTTATTTATAGAACCAATGTAAGGTTTTAATCATATCAGCCCAATTTCTTCACTACCACAAATAAGGAATGCCAAAGTAAACCCAGACCTCCTTTTGAGTACTGTGGTTCTGGGATAACTTATCTCCTCCCTTAGGGATGAGGAGCACTTGGGAAATTAAGTCTCTTTTGCTGCTGCTCCCACCGTCCCTTTGTTACAAACTAGTTTCTTCCTTCCCCACTTGTTTTTACTATGGAATTCACAGTGGAAGAATGTCTCCCGAGCTATCTTTATAACCACTCTAGAATAGAATAGGCCAAGATGTGTGATCTAATGAGATCTATTAATATTTGAACTGGAAATTCTGAACACTAGCCTGATATTATCCATTACCGTGTTTCCCCAAATATAAGACAGCATCTTATTTTCTTTTGACCCCCGAAATAAGCGCTCCACCTTATTTTTAGGGAGGTCTTATTATTTTTGAGGTGCAGGAGGCAGCGAGCGTGGTCACCTCATGGCTGCTGCTGCATTGCAATATTTTGGGGGAAGGCTTATTTTAGCATATATGTTCAAAAGCTCGACTGGGCTTATTATCTGGGGAGATCTTATTTTCAGGGAAACAGGTAGGTACAGCAATAGTAAGATCCCATAATTAAAGATGAGTAGCAGAATTTGAC